CTGTGTATTCCATACCTTGCTAAAAGTTATAAAAACTGAAGCCCTCCTCTTGCACGTTAGTTTACTTCCTATTCTTACGGGATCGAACAATTTGTCTATACTACATCATTCTCTTCTACTCCTCTAAATTACCTAACATGTCCCCAACTGTAGAGCGAAATGGAGCACTGTGCTGATGATTCCCATTCCATTTCGCACCGTTTTAGTCGTCTGTGTTTACAGTTCAGGGATGAAACATAGACGTCACCTAATGCAAATACCGGCTAGCTTAAATGAGATTCTAAAATTTGGCTTCTTCGCAAAACATCCAATAAACATAGTCGATTATTCCATTCCTCTTTTCTCATGTCGCTGCATCTTGGCAGCAGCAGTGCTACACTTTTCGATACTTATAAAAAGGTTACATCACTTGAAAATTTTTTTTCTAGCGTACAAACATACCTTCGGCGCTTCTTCAATTTTTTCATCATTGGATGGGAATCGAACACGCGGACAAAAGGGCACTCGTTTTTTGGCATGCTCACGAAACAGCGGTGACGATCGTGACCCCCTCCTGTGGCCTCCCTCCACCTTTGTACTTTTCGGAAATCGTTGGAACGCTTCTGCAGCTGCATCATTCGCTTTTTTCAGCTCACTTGCCGGCGTCCACTGCATTTGCAGTTTAAAATTCATTTCGGAAGGTAACGGCTCCTGAAACACAACGCTCCTAATCTCTTCCTTAATCACAAGAACGATGAAAAAATAGGGAAAGTAAAGAGAAACTCTATGGTATTGCTCGTAAGCTATAATATTGTATATTCGGTTGACTGTGCCTCAGGCAATTAAACATCAAAAATCGGACCTTTAAAAGTGGGAAAACTCGAAGGCAGTAAAATTGGGATTCTTTCGAGGGTTACTTACAAGCAAATTTAAGACGATTTTGATTTTATAGCTTGGGAACTTGTCACTGAAACCCAATGAATGTATCGTTCGGAGATTTGTTGTTTCAGTGGCGGAGGCAAACCTCAAATTTCACACAACGGGCAAGTAAAGCTACAAACTCTCGTGATCTATCGTAAGAGAACAGTTTTGTGCCATACCGCACAAACAGCAACTTGTTACCATTGTATCATACAAATATGCGAGGAGTTAAACATACACGGCAACACTATTTTTTCAACAAAGACATTTTCAGGAGTTTTCTTCAAAAGTAAGTGTTGTGTTTCAAATTACTGCAAAATAAATAGCAACGCGCACCAGACTAGCCGGTGCGATCATGCGTTTTGTGTAACTCAGCCCATCGACCGACTGCCTATTAATGATTTTCACTGCGTTGTACTTCAGTTTATGCAAAATAGTTTAAACACTGGAAAACAGTTAAAAATTTCACGCACCAGCGCATGAAAGCTGAATTCGA